GCCGCTGCCTCAACCCCATCAGCCTGGAAATGAAGATCGGCACCATGTCCAAGAGCATCCTGCTGAACTGGGCACGTGGGGCGTCCCTTTGGTCTCCTGACTCAGACGTCTCTGAGTACTGACCTCACTGGAACAGCTAGCTACTCTGACAAGAAGCCACCTCTGGACCTTCCAGGCAGCATGCCTAGGCCTGGAAGGACGCAGACGACCACCACGGCCCCCACTCTACACAGGAGGAAACTGCGGGAGCCTCCTCACCTCCGGCTGGTGCTTGCTTGGTGATCCATGCTTGGGTGGGCACAATAACATGCCCACCAAGCTCCTTCTAAATCTACGATGCTGTGGCTCTGGTAAGACTGCCCGGATTGTGTCCCCTGAACCCCCCAACCCGCAGTGTCCCCTGACTCCTTGCCCAATATCCAGAGAGCCCTGCGTGATCTGCTCTAGACATGCTCTCCAGTGTGCACCCCTCAGCCCACTCCAGCCTCTGTAGGGCCTTCGTCCCCCAGGGAGCCCGGCAGAATTTGCCCCTCAGAACCCCTGCCGTGCCTCCCTATGACCCCCATCCAGGATGGCCTCACCTCCAAGCCTGGGCTCAAAGGCTCCTTCCTCCAGCTCCTCTGTAAGCTCAGGCTTTGGGTCAGATTGAGCTGGGTTCAAACCCACAGCAGGGCCATGTCACAGCCCTGTGACTGGCAAGCTCCTGTGGGAAATCTTGGGACCTCAGTTTTCTACTTTGGAGATGGGGTCAGTGACTCCCACCTCAGGAGGATGGGTTGGGGTTGAAAGCAGGGAGATGAACGTGCGTGAGTGCCGGATTTTGGGGAGAGGGGCTGCTGCCAGGAAGACGGGGGAGGGGATGTAGAGGAGGAAAAGGCGGCCTGACCTCCTCCCTGCCACACGTGTCCCCATCACCCTCCCCTGACCCCCCCGCCATGCACTGAGATGAACACTGAAGTGGAACGTGGGGGCCAGGACAGCAGCAGGGGTATATTTCATTTCCCTCTAGTCTCCAGGTCTCCATGTCCACTCAGTCCAGCGGCCCTGCCTGGCGGGACTGGGGTTGGCCCCCGGCCTAAGAGGACGTGAGGGTCACTGAGCAGGCAGTGGAGATCGGGACACGGAGGACCAAGGCCACAGCCAACCCCTCGGGGTTGCGCAGGCCCCCTGGCAGGTGGGGTCCCGCGCAGGCGCCGTCTGCTGGGCCGTGTGCGCCTGCGCAGGATCCACCTGCCTCCGACCCACCCCGCCCACCCAGAGTGCACCTGCGCCACGTCGACCCAAAAGGTGGGAGCCGACCTGCCACACCGAGCCACGCTAATGAAGTTCCTCCTCCAAGCCCTCATGGGACAGTCGGCAAACTGAGGGCAGGAGAGGCAGGGACTGGCCTGGGACCCACCAGCTGAGCAGAGGCTAGAGGAACAGGGAGGGTTCCAGCTTCCGAGGCCAAGCTTCACCTCGCTGCGGGTTTCCTTTGGGAACGAGGGCTCCTAAGATCTGGGGGACCCCTGCCCACACTCCCATGTGGGGCCCTTTCCTCTGGTCATCCTCGCGCGGTCACACGTACGCACAAGGCTCTCTGCGTGGGCGAGCACACACACACACTCACACACACACAAACACACACACACACACAAAATCCCCAGGGGCGTCCAAGGTGTCGTGGACCCTGGAGGGGACAAGGGGGAAAGAAGGAGGAGGTTCGAGGCAGCTGGGCCGTGGGCTCTGGGCATTGTCTCCTGGGAACATGCCCGGGGCCGTAGCATGGGGCTCGGGGGAGACATGCCAGGCTGATGGCCAGGGCGGCCCCAAGATGCCCATGGGCTGTCACAGGCACCCACATTCTAGAGACAGCCCCCTTCCTACTCAGTTTACTTGGCTGGAGATGCTGCAATCCTGCTGTATCCCGATGTCCCCAGGATGTGGTCTCAGCAAAGCCGACAGTGAGAGCTGTTGCCTATACTGCAGACCTGGGGTCAGGTCCCACCCCTGACACCTCTGGCCATTTGCCTGGAGGGGCCCAAAGGGAACACAGGGAGGCCCAGAGCCAGCCAGGCCAGCCAGACACAGCTGTGATCCGACCGTGCAGCCCAGCGCCCCTGTGTGTGTGTGTGTGTGTGTGCAGAGGATTCGGGCAGGGTAGCCCACCCTGAGCAGGAGCAAGGTGATGAGGGGCCAGATGCCTGGTGGGTGGATCATATTGACACCCCGGGTCAAGGCTGGCTGGGTGGGACGGGCTGTGCTGGGGCGGCCTCCTTCTCCCCAGGTTTGATCCGGAGCCCTGTCGATACATGTCACTGCACCCCGGGCGCAGGGCTGTGCCCACACGGGGCTGTGTCTGATCTGGAGGCAGCAGTGGGGCTGGGCAGGAGGACGGTGAGGACGGCCGGGCAGGGCTGTGATGCCTCCGGGCCGGGCACCGCTCACTGTCTTCGCAGAGGCCCATGGAAGAAATTGGGGACAAGCTGGTCAACAAGAGCCTCGCTCTACGGCTCCCCAGCGTGGGGCCCGTGCACCAGGCAGTCGCTAAGGACTGGTGCGGGCTCAGGGGGAGTGTGGGGACGAGGGCGCTCCAGGACCGGGCTCGGGAATGGCCGGGAGGGTCTCCTGCCCCGACGCCATCCGGGACACTGACGACCCGAGGTGCCACGACGGCTGTGCCCCTTACGTGGCCATGATCTCAACCCAAGGGGTCTGGGCTTCTCTCGTCACAAACACACACACACAGACACACACGCCAAACACACACACACACCCAGTCCTTCGAACACACACACACACACACACCTGGTCCTTCACACACAGACACACACACCCGGTCCAGCCCCAGCCTTGGCCAGGTACAAAATCACCCTTCACATACGTGGAAGATGATCCGAACCAATTTGGATATTCTGTTGTACATCGGGACACGGACAGGAATAGTTTTGCAGTTTCTGTGTTGTGAATTGTCCCTCCTTTATCCACAGATCAGCCCCACCGTGAACCTGAGTGGGCCCTGCCGCTGGGGGCGAGCCAGAGGCTGTGGGCGGTCCGTGCTGACAGCCTGAGGAAGCTGGTGGAGCCGGGCCAGGCCCTCTCCTGTGGCCCCTCTCGCGGAGCACCTCCCAGAGGAACGACTCCCCAGCCCTTCCCACACCTGCTGCTCACCAAGGTGAGCAGGGCCCCCCGTCCCACCCGGAGTCTCCCCCTCACCTGCGGGCTGTGTGTCTCGGGCCTGGCACGTCCCCTCTCCGAACCTCAGGTGTCTCCTGGGGACCCTGCGTGCCACGAGGCCAGGCCCCACACACGGGGTTGCCGTCGGGCCTGTTGGGACCGCTCCCCGACCCTATGGCCAGCCCACGGGGAGGGTGGCCTTGGGCTGAGGCTGGTCCTCTCCACCGTGAAGGAACTCTCTGCCCCAAGCCTCGGTGTCCTGGGTCCCGGGCAAAGCCGCATTCCTGGCTGTGAGGAGGTTTCAGATTCCCTCTGGGGCTCCCATCCTGGGTGGAGCCAGAGCAGGGATCCCTGGGGGCTGGCAGAGGGGCCCCAGAGCCACTCAGACATCTGAAAGGTGCTGGCTGGGCTTCATCGACTCCACAAATGGACAGGAAGCCCCTTCTAGACATTTTCCATACTTCAGGGAACAGGGCGGACAAATGTTCCTGCCCTGTGGGCCTCTTTCTAGGTGTGGGTCCGCCGCTAAGCCTAGACGACAAAGCAGAGATGGGCACACGATGTTCCTTGGGACGCCCTGCCGGCCTCCTCTACATACGGATCCCTCTGCTCTCATTGTCTAAAGGATGACGGGCCCTAGGACGAAGAAGAGCCCTTGTCTCCGAGGTGGTGAGGGAACGCGGGGGACCGGTCAGGTGCGGAGCCATGGGTCTCGTGCACACCTGCCGCAGGGCTGGGTCATGGTACAGGAGCTGTGGGCAGGTCGTCTGTGCACACCTGGCCATGACACACCTGGCTGGCCCTCTCGGTGGGGAGGCCTGCGTGCCTGGTGCACCTGTCCCCCACCTACCCCTGGAGGAGCAGCCACGTTCAAGCCTTTCCATGTCCGACCCTCAGGGACAGTTGGGAACCTGGGTCAAGAGAGGCAGGGACTGGCCCAGGACAACTGAGGGGTGCAGAGTCCAAGGAGCTGCTCTCCAGTCCTAGGCCAGTCCCAACCCTCCCATGAGGGTTGGGGGTGAGAGACCCTCAGATCCTCGGGAAGAGCTACCCACTCCGTCCCATGTGGGGACATGACCTTGGCATCCCCAGGCACGTAGAGGCACGTGCACCTGCACACCCCCCCACACACACACCCACACACACACACACACCATTCTGACTGCCCAGCTGGGGGTCAGAAGGGGAGGACACCCTGGGAGCGAGGTGGGTGACAGGGGGGAAAGAAGAAACAGGTTGCAGAAAGCTGGACCATGGGGCAGGGCATCAGGACTCCTGGCAAGGACCCAGATCCATAGCATGGGGAGGGGAGACAGGCCAGGCTGAGGGTCAGGGGTCCCCAAGGGGCCCAACGGGGTTGCCAGGGCACTGGGAGAGGACAGGGTCTGGGTTCCGGTGTCCATCACCAGCCTGGGCACTTGGAAGCAGGAAGAGACACCCACCCCCAAGTCCAGAGGGGCTACAGCAAAAAGGCCTCAGCTTACTCTTCTGTCACTTGGGCTGTAGAGATGCAGTGTCCCTAGGGTCCCACAGGCTTGTGGGAGAGCCTGTTGGCCTTCGATCTCCATCTCCGACGCACTGTGCTCCCAGTCCTTGGAAAATGCTTTGTACTCCCTCGAGGTCCTTCGACGCAGGGGACAGACTGGGGGCTTGGGGGGCTGAGGACCTGGGAACGCAGAACGTGGCAGAGCACTGACCACTAGTCTGGGGACCAAGGCCAAGACCCTCCTTGTTGCAGCCTCCGGGTCTCCATTTGGACGAGGTTCCAGATTCACTGCTCTGGTCCAGGTGACAAGGCCTTAGGAAGGAACGGAGCACCGGGACAGAAGAGGGAACCACGGACAAGGGAGGCTTCTGAGGTTTCTCACATCACCCCTGGAGTCCACAGATCCTGCTCCTGTGAGAGACACAGAGACAGAGACAGAAACAGAGAAGGAGACAGAGAATGAACACACAACAGAGGGAACCAGAAGAAGTCACAGACTTTCCTCCATCAGTTTGGAAATGACATCCCAGCATTTGGCCCCATTCTCTTCCTGAGAGTGCGGTCACACAGGCCATCCACCCCGGAGGGGAGGGGATTCCACAGGGACGTGTGAACAGGACGCGGGAATGCCCGGGAACCACTGTGGTGACTGCCCAGCACATGGGCGCAGACGAGGCCCCGGGGCCTGAGCCTAAACCTAATGGGAGCGCCTGGAAGTGTGCGTCACCAGGGGACAAGGTCGGAATCCGTTAATTGCAACCTTCTCACAGGGGCTGGGAACAGGCAAGAAGGGGGTGGCTTTGACCAGACCCCAGAGCAGACCCAGGCCCCTCTGAGCTGTGCTCCATGTCCCGCCCAGCCCCTGGCTCCTCCTTGCATTGCCAAGTGTGCCCCAGCCTCTTGTGATAGCAGGTCTGGAATGTATGTAGAGGTTCTACCCCTGATGGCGTCCCTAGGAGTAGAAGCCAGAACACCCCACTGTGCAGATGGGGAGCCTGGGGAGGCCCTGAGAGGCACAGGGTCTGTCCAGGGTCACAGCCCTGGGCACGCACAGGATCCCAGTCTGAAGCCAGCTCTGTGTCCTCACAGCGGGGACACCGGCTGCACCGAGGCCTTGGGAAGGCTGTGGGGGGGCTGTGAGGGAGTCACTGTATGGATGGGGCATGGGGGGAGGGGGAGCATTGAGCAGCCGCGGGAGGGGGCCCTCGGGGGCGGGGGTCTTGTGTGAGGAGGAAGTTGGGTAAGGGGATCCCAGGCAGTGGTGACCTCACTTCCCTGACAACAGAGTCCAACAGAATTTGGAACCCAGGTAACAAAGGCACCCACATTCCAGAGACAGCCCCCTGCCCAGCTCATTTCGTTGGAGATCATCCAACCATGAACATGTGGGCTTGTTGCCTCCCTAAGTCTGGATGCTGCAGGCTGGAGAATGCCCCCCCTGCAAACGCTGGCCCCCGCTGGGGATGTCCGATCAGGGCTCCCCACCGCCTCTGGCCGTTTGGCCGGAAGGCCCGAAAGGTGACACCAGGAGGCCCAGAGCCGGCCACCCAGCCCCACAGGGTCTAATCCACCTGTGCAGCCCCAGGTCCCCTCCCCTCCGTGTGTGTGTGTGTGTGTGTGTGTGTGAATAGGGGTCATGTGGGGTGGGCCAACGCCATTCAAGAACAGGCTGATGAGGGGTCAGATAACCCGTGGGCAGGTCATGTTCAAGGTCAAGGCTGGCTGGGTGGGACGGGGTGTGGGGGCCTGTGAGCTTCTGCCCAGGGTTTCTCTTGATCGCCCTGCAGGGATGGGTCATTGTCCTGCGTGCAGGGCTGTGCACCCACAGGTGTGTGTCTGATCTGGGTGCAGCAGGGCGACTGGGCAGGGGACAGCGAGGTCGGCCGGGCAGGACTGGGATGCCTCCGGGCCGGCTACCCGTCCCTGTCTTTGCAGACCTCCGATGAGATCGGCACGAGGCTGGCGGACACCCACTCCATGTCCGGGATCCGGAGCGTGACCCCACAGGACTCCCCTGGAGCAGGTGCTGGGGATTGCGGGGAGAGGCCTCCGACACCACCCAGACCACTGTCCCTGGTGGTCATTCACTGCATTGTGCTCCAGGAGCCAGAGCCCACGGAGGCCGAGCCTGAGGCTGAGAAGCCCGGGGCTGGGTGCCCGTGGGTGTGTGCGGAAGGGTGGGGGCTGGCCCCACAGGGAGGAGCCCCCAGAGCCTGGTGTGGGGCCTGGAGCAACGACTGGGCTCAGAGCGCCCAGCGGGTGGACTGCGGTCGGGGAGACGCCCCGGGGAGGGCTCCTTCCTGCCTGCGGCTTCTCTGGGAGGCCCTGGGCTGGGTTCTGTCTCCACGGAGAGCAGGCTCGGGCTGAGCTTTTCTCCTCTCACAGCTGCTCCAGCACCTGAGGAGCTAGAGCCGGTTCCAACTCCATCGGCAGATCTGGACGGAGGGGTGGTGGCTGCGACTTCAGCAGGAGACCAGAAGCCGGCAGGTGACCCAGCACCCGCCCACAGAGAGCCTGACGGGGGCCAGGAAGGGCATGCTGGACAACCTGCCTCCGGAGAGCCTGCCCCTGTGCCTGCCCCTGTGCCTGCCAGAGCCGCCGCCCCTGTGCCTGCCCCGAACTCTGGCCCTGCTCCTGCCCCCGACCCAGCTCCTGCCCTGGATCCTGACCCATCCCTACCCCGGCCAGTGCCCCGGTTCTTGCCCCTGACCCAGATACCGCCCCGGGTCCTATACATGCCAGTGCGGCAGACCCTGTCCCTCCCCTTGCACCTGCCCCCTCCCCTCCCCCGGCTTCTGCTCCTGTTCCCGCCCCTGCCCCAACTCCTGCCCCTTCCCCTGCCCCTGCCCCTGCTAGAGCCAATGTCCCTTCTCCTGACCCACCTCCTGCCCCTGCACCTGCCCATTCCCCAGCACCTGCCTGTGCACCTGTTCTTGTCCCTGACCCCGCTCCTGACCCTGCACCAGCCCCTTCCCTTAGCTGTGCACCTCTTCTTGCCCCTGATCCGGATCCTGACCGTGACCCAGCTCCTGCCCTGGATCCTGCCCCTTCCCTTGCCCCTGTGTGTGCTCCTATTCTTGCCCCTGACCCGGGTTCTGCCCCTGCCCCTGCCTGTGGTCCTGTTCCTGTTCCTGACCCACCTCCTGCCCCTGCACCTGCCCCTTCCCCTACCTGTGTTCCTGTTCTTGCCCCGGACCCAGCTCCTGCCGTGGATCCTGCCCCTTCTCCTGCCCCTGCCTGTATTCCTCTTCTTGCCCTTGACTCGGCTTCTGCCCCTGCAACTGTCCCTTCCCCAGCCCCTCCCTGTGCTCCTATCCTTCCCTCTGACCCAGCTCCTTCCCCTTTCCCTACCCGTTTCCCTGCCCCTGCGTGTGCGCCCCTTCCTGCCCCTGACCCACCCCCTGCCCCTGCACCTGTCCATTCCTCTGCCTGTGTCCCTGTTCCGGCCCCTGCCAGAGCCGATGCCCCTTCCCCTGCCTGCGTCCCTGTTCCTGCCCCTGCCCCTGCCAGAGCTGATGCCCGTTCCCCTGCCTGCGTCCCTGTTCCGGCCCCTGCCCCTGCCAGAGCCAATGCACCTTCCCCTGCCTGCATCCCTGTTCCTGCCCCTGCCAGAGCCGATGCCCCTTCCCCTGCCTGCGTCCTTGTTCCTGCCCCTGCCCCTGCCAGAGCCAATGCCCCTTCCCCTGCCAGTGTCCCTGTTCATGCCCCTGCCAGAGCCAATGCCCCTTCACCTGCCTGCGTCCCAGTTCCTGCCCCTGCCCCTGCCAGAGCCGATGCCCCTTCCCTTGCCAGTGTCCCTGTTCCTGCCCCTGCCCCTGCCAGAGCTGATGCCCCTTCCCCTGCCTGTGTCCCTGTTTCTGCCCCTGCCAGAGCCAATGCCGCTTCCCGTGCCGGTGTCCCTGTTCCTGCCCCTGCCCCTGCCAGAGCCGATGCCCCTTCCCCTGCTTTCCAGGGCCGCTGCCCCTTCCCCTGGCCCTGCCTGTGCTCCTCTACTTGCCCCTGACCCAGCTCTTACCGTGGATCCTGCCCCTGGCCCTGCTCTTGCGTCTGGCCCTGCTCTTGCATCTGGCCCTGCCCCTCCTCCTGTTCCTGCAGGGCTCCCAGAACCACATCCAGAGCCCACATCCTCACGGGGAGAGCTCCTTGTACCATTACCCTTAGCTCCATCACCCGACACCGATGCCCCGCCAGATTGTTTCATCCCCTCCCCCTATGTTCTTTCTCTCCAGTTCGTATTAACTGTTCTATTCTCTTTCCATGTCCTATATGCTGTTTATTATTTATTTTAAATAAAATTCATTGTTTTCAGTTGAACAAGTCCTGAGCATCAAGTACATTCCCAACGCTGGGCCACCACACCACAGAACATGGCTGTGGAATATCTGCTTCCCAAAAGGAATCCCCGAACCACAAGGCCTCCCTGGAAACCCCTAAGCTGCTTCCTCTCTCTGTTCCTTTACCTGTTCAGGATGTTTCCTGTACGTGGAATCCCACAGTATGGGCCTTTGTGTCTGCCCCCCTATTTTCAAAGGGGACTCCTTCTTTTCTGGGTTGACTTGACATAGAATTTCCCTTATTGGATGTTGAAATCCCCGATGGATTACAGATGAGATGGAACCAGAGAGCCCCCTTTGGTAAATATGGACACAATCTCGGGGCGGAGACCCCTGTTCCTGCTGGGACACCTCAGCCTGACCCCAGACAGGAAAGGGCTGGTTCCTCCTGTGACCCACAGAAAAACCAGGGAAATGCAGAAAGCTGGAAGACACACCCAAAGGGCCAAAGCATTGCTCACAACCCAAGGCCACAGAAAGGTTTCCCATGCCTCTGGTCCAAACCATGCTCCAAGTCACTGGGTTCCACAGGGACAGAGACGAAATGCATGCAAGTCCAAGTGGAGGGGGACAGGCATGGGGGGACTCAGAGATGCAGGAGCTCCCGGGGAAGGACTGTGGCAAAGGAAACCCTACGGAGGCAGCCCTGGTCACCCTCAGACTGGCAGGTGTCTGGTCTGGGGACCAGCAGCCCTGGTGAGAATGTGAGGAAACGGAGGTCCCTGGCAGAGAAGGGTGACGGGCACCCCTGTCTGGGAGAACAGTGAGCAGCACCCATCCCAGGCCACTGGTGCACCCATCACCTAGCGTGGGCAGCTCATTCCCTCCGTGTCGAAGGGAACACCGTGTCCATCAAACTCTCTTTGCAACAGAATCCATAAAGTGGAGTTTCTGGGTCAACACGTATACAGTGTGGAAGGTACAAGCCTCAACTTCCAACATCCCAGGTCTGCTTGTCCACCTTGAGCCTTGTTTGGGAAGCAGGGGTGGGGACCCCTGGGGCTGTGACCTGTGGGAGGGGTGGGGAGGGGGAGCTCTGAGTGGAGTGACCAACGTACCCGGGGTGACCTGCCCAGC